ACTATGACGAGCACTGCAGTGATCGTCGATGTCGTCGTCGTACTAGTAGGAGCAGGAGAAGGAAGAGGAGTGGTTGTGCGAGTCGGAGTTGGAGTGGGTGTGAGTGCGAGTGGGAGTTGAGTGCCAGCAGCGCTCACAATGTCGTAGTTGTGGTATCTGTGTGTGTGTGTGTGTGTTTCTGTGGAGTTCGACTGGCAGGATCAGGAGTTCCAGCAATGGGAAGGTAGCAACAGTACTAACGGCATTTGTGGTTTTCATTTTTTCATGGCTCCGCTCAAAATCCAAACAAGATCGTAAGAGCAGCAAGAATTGCAAGAGCAGTGGGTACCAAGTAGTTTAGCCGTGGCTGGCAAATTTTATAATCCTGGCCATAGTGTTGTGTTGCCCGGGCTGGTTTCTAGACATCCCCCGGGAAATAATTCAAAATGCGGATATAAAGCAGAAACCTATCCGATCCAAAAAGCAGAAAAAAATTCAGCAATCTGACAAGTATACTGGTTGTATATTGCATTTTCCCATACGAAATGCAGAAATAGAGCAAGTTGCCAATGTGGCACAAAGGTGGAGTATTGCACCTTCCTATAACATCAACAGTTTCAATAGCTGAATATTGCATTTTCCTATACGAAATGCAGAAATGAAGCAAGTTGCCAATGTGGCACAAAGGTGGAGTATTGCACCTTCCTTTAACATCAACAGTTTCAATAGCTGAATATTGCATTTTCCTATACGAAATGCAGAAATGAAGCAAGTTGCCAATGTGGCACAAAGGTAGAGTATTGCACTCTCCTCAGCAGCAATAGTTAGTTGAAAGTTGCATTTTCCCACACGAAATGCAGAAATTCAACAATTTGCCAATCCAGCCCAGAGGTGGAAAATTGCACTCCCCTCCAATATAACAATAGTAGAATGTTGCAATTCCCCGCACGAAACACAGAAATAGAGCCACTTGCCAATGTGACACGAAGGTGGAATACAGCGCAGAACCTTGTACAGTAGTAAATTGCAATGATTGAAAGAGAAAAAGAGCGAGAGAGAGAGAGAGAGAGAGAGAATGTGCACACGTTCGCGCAGCCGCAACTTCTGATGTGTTTCCTCGGGTCGTCGGGTTGGCCTGCTTAGATCACTGGGGACACTGGGATGGTGGCATCGACCCAACAGGTAAGATTTACATTGCTGCTACAAAACTCCGAAGTTCTGTGCTTCGGCTGCTTCTGTGGAGGTGAAGGCTTCTTGCTGCGATCTTGATTCGTGCTTAGCTGCCTAGCGGGCCTAGCAGTTTGTGACAGCACGCATAACACTCTGCAAAAACCACTTGACGCATCATGGGATTTTTGAGCGACGTGCCATGTCATGTGCTTTGATCTGCCTTGTTGCAATATGTTCCACCTTCTTGCCGGGAGCCAGGTTCTGATTGCGCTTTCCCTAATGCATTTAAGTCAGTAAAACACTCGACAAGTTTGCACATTACAAGCACAACAAGCAAGCTTGCAAACGGTCTAGAGTCTAGAATGGCAGAGCCGGCCTGATGATCGCCGATTCCCCAGCAGACTCAGCAGACGTGTCATTGACAAGTCACGCCGATTTTGGTTCGAGTTAAATGGCATGACCTCTTTGAGGTTCTGGATTGGCTGCGGTGCGCTTGCGGAGGCATTCGGACACTGACTCCGGCTTTCCGTGAAACAGGATTCCCCGCGTGTCAGGACTTCCTGGAGTCCTGGCGTCGTCCCGACCCAATGAAGGCCAGCCTAGGGCCTAGGGCTCTATCGACTCGACTCTATCGGATTCTGTCGAATAAGTTTATTCAGCTGTCCCTGACCGTCAGGAGTCATGGCATGCTCCTCGCAGAACCCTGCAATGACCCTCGGATTGTGGATGCTTGATCTTCTGCTCTCCCCGATGGTGATCCGAATCATGTCTCTGCTCAGGTCTGGCTGCCGGGAACGAAGAGCTGGAAAGCTCTGACCTCAGAGGTCAGCATCATTGCCTGGTGAAGTGAAGGGTTTCACTGTAGTCATTGTAGGCGTTCTAGGTTGTAGGGGTTCGTCAGATCCCTACAAGACCAGTGCCTTTGTGTAGGGTTTCGGAGTTGTGCTTGTGGGGCTGCGGGTTCCGAGGCTTGTCAAAATTTCTTTGCATGTGCTCAGCTGTTGCTCAGTTGCTCCTCGACTTCGGCATCTTCTGGGAAGCTCTTTCGACGAGGCTGGCCACTCTGTGACTTTTCATCATACTCATTATAGTTTCGTTACTCTCATTAGTTCGTTGTAGCATTGTACTGCATTTCTCATCACGCAAGTCCAGCCACATTGTGACATGGATGGAGTTTTGCAAAACATACCGGACATACCGTTGTTGCGAGGCCTAACCACTTCATCGCGGTGAGCTCAATCCTTCAGTGCGCGGCAGTATGCTTTCGGTAGCCGGGTAGCCTAGGCCTAGGCCCTCTGACTGCAACATGCTCGGTGATTGCACTTGCACTCGTTTGACTTAGAGACTCTATCTAGAATTTGAAATTTAGATGTACTCGAAGCGTGCACATTAATAGGTCCCAAACCCTCATCCCCAGATCCTAAACCCAAAACTCTTGGATCACACATCCCAGACCGCCTAAACCCTGGTAACTTCAAACTCCGATTCTTCCGGAGATGTCGCTTACCGTGCGTGTTGGATTGCTCAGTGGCCGGACAGCTAAAGCCGACTTAGAAGAAGAGGTCGGGAATTTGAAACGACGCGCGGAGACAGCACTCGAAGTGGGGACAGGGCAGCTGCTGGACTCATCCGGAGAGGTTCTGGATGTACAGGCACCGATCAAGCATGCCCGGCTGCAGCATGGTGACTCAATCCTTTTTATAAGCACACTTCAAGTTTCAGCTGCTCGACATGGGTTTGCAATTATTCTGGGCGATGGATCTGTCGCGACGTGTGGGTCTCAGCGTGAAGACTGCAGGGCTTGGCAGGTGCGTGACGATTTGAAGAATGTGCTGCAGATTCAAGCAAGCCAGGATGCTTTTGCTGCAATTTTGAAAGACGGGCATGTGGTCAGCTGGGGAACTTTCTGTGACTCCGGCGGCGAGCCATTGCTCCCGGATCTGTCGCAGATCAGGGCGACGGCCATCGCCGGCAACTTGCTGGCCTTCGCCGCGATCCTTGTCGATGGCTCTGTCGTGACGTGGGGCTCCCGGGGATGCGGCGGTGACAGCAGCCGTGTGCAAGATCGATTGAAGAACGTGCAGCAGATCCAAGCCACGGAAGAGCATTTTGCTGCCATCTTGGGCGACGGGTCCGTCGTCGCATGGGGACATGGCATGATTGGGGCCACGGCGGCTGTGCAAGACCAGCTGAAGAATGTGCAATCGATTCAAAGCAGTGCCCAAGCTTTTGCTGCCATTTTGGAGAATGGCAGGGTGGTTACTTGGGGAGAAGACTGGTGTGGAGGTGACAGCTCTTCAGTGCGGGACCAGCTGAGGAATGTGCAAGCAGTTCAATCCACTTCCACGGCGTTTGCTGCCCTCCGTCAGGATGGATCCGTCGTGACATGGGGCAGAAATTGCGGCACAACCTGGAGTTGCACTGATATCAACGATGTCGTGGTGTCGAATGTCAAATCGATCCATGCCACAAGAGGCGCCTTTGCTGCCATTTTGGATAACGGATCAGTGGTGACCTGGGGGTCTAATCGGTATGGTGGCGACAGCACTGCAGTTCAAGATCGGCTGCAGAACGTTCAGCAAATTGCGGCCTCGGACCGATCCTTTGCAGCCATCTTGGCAGACGGGTCGGTCGTTTCATGGGGTGAAAGTGCCAGATTCATGCGTACTGTCCAAGACCAGCTGAAGAATGTGCAGTGCATCCAAGCCACTCGCAGCGGGGCTTTTGCTGCCATTTTGACAGGAGGATTTGTTGTGGTTTGGGGCCAGGGTCGTGCGGCCGACTGCAGTGCTGTGCAGCACCAGCTGAAAAATGTTTTGCACGTACAATCGTGCCAAGACTCCATTCTGCGCAATATTGCGGAATGGCTCCGTGGTGACCTGGGGTCTGTTCTGCGACTAAAAAGCGAGCCGCGGTTCGTGGGTTTCCCCGGTTTCCCCCGCCCAGTTCCGTTAAGGTTTCCAGACTCCCCTAGGTTTCAGGGCTCCCTTCCTGAACCCTTTGATTCCCCTTAGGAGTGCCTGACGAGTGCCTTGCATGCAAGTGTTGGGTTTTCCCCTTTCCCCTCTCCTTGGGTTCCCGGCCGACCTCTAAGTTTCAGGGTTCCTTGCCGGAGGCAGTGAGGTAGTGCACGTGCGTGTGGGTGTGGGGTTTTAAGGCTGTCCCCTTCCCTGTCTCTGGCCCTTCCTTACCTTGTCCTACCGCCCCCTCGCCCAGGTCCGAACCTTCGTCCTTGTCGCAGCTGCCCCAGAGTGTTTTTGCGTGGTCTTCACTAGGAGTGCAGGTAGAGTGCAGTGCAGGCCGTTTGCCGGGGTTTTGCCGGGGGTTTCGGGTTCCGGGGTCCGGGTTCTTGGGTTAAGGTTCTGGTAGGCTCCTGCCCCTTAGGGTTTTAGGCTGCCTTGTGTTTCCCGGAACCCCCGGGCCCCTTCCTTTGACCTGCAGAGTTGCAGCTGCCCATCGCCGCCCAGGTCCTCACCTTCGACTTCGAGCCATCTAGTGCGATGGCATCTGCGGATGCCGCCGACCCAGCCGAGATCGCATGTTTGAGCTTCCTCGCAGCGGTTCGTGATCCACCTGCCACTGTTGCTACTTTTAAGTACGTGGCTTGTGTCCGATTCTTTGCTCCGCTCAAAGCCTTATCGATCTGATGAGGCATCCGTGTTTTTTGATGTGGCATGATCATTCAGAAGCCAGCTCCCCATGTTACCGAATGTTTCCCAAACCTCGAATCCTTGGTGGCCTTAGCCTCGAGACTCTAGACTTTTAACCCTAGTCGGGCTTGCAGTTGCAGACTTGCGGTAATTCCGATAGGCAAAGGCGGGAGACTCGACCAGAGTCGTTGTTTTGGCAATATGGGCTGGGATGAGTTGGCCGACAAGGAGTTGATTCGCCTGAAGGCCCAGGCCCGTGCAGAAGAGACTGCTGAGTGCTTTCGATGTGATTCGGATTCCGACGAGGGCTCAGCCACATGTGGTCTTTCTCAGTCCGAACGATCTACTGCATCTCAGTCTGACTGTGCAAACCCTTTCAGCTTGTGGTGGTCGGAAGCTTTGAAGACTGCTGCAGCAGAGCTAAAGATTTCGTCAGCCACGACAAAGCTTGAGCGGGGAAGCATCAACGTGCTGTCAGCGTGCAGTGGCGGTTGCGCAGAAGCCTTCGTCCTGAAGGCACGCTGCAGGGCAACTAGTAAGTGACAGTTAGCAGCAGTAGGGACTCAGTAGTGTCATTATTGACTATTACAAATTATGCAGCTTTGGGGTTGGTGCCGTGGAGCCGGTGTGATAGCTTCTCGAATTTGCGGTGCAATCCACTAGGTCCAGTTAGTACTTACTAGCTGCTAGCCGCAGTTACTAGCTACTAGTTTCGAGTTGGCTTCCACTTCATTTTCCTAGCATGGTGCTTGCCGCTTGCCGGTTCCTGCTTCTCTGTGGGAGGCACTTGGGCTCCCAGCGAACATTCTTGGCATCTCGGAGACAGACGAGAGCTACCGGCGTTTCATCGCCGTCAACCATGGTGAGGCCGTGCAGCATGTTCACAGAACCATGCAGGACCAAATCAATTCGGTGCCCTGCTTGAAGGATTGCTGCCAAGGCCGAGCCTCATGTGACATAAGAACCCCGGACCTCGGGGTATTCGGAACCCCTAGCAACCCCTTCAGTGTGCATCGGCACACTCGTCGACAACCCGGCAATGTTGAAGGGCACAGATTGTATGATGTGACTTTCTCAGATGCCGTGGAATGGTTGGTTCGTTTTGAGCCAGTGACTGTCATCATGGAGCAAGTCGAGGGCTTCGGAGCTCCTCTTTCCTGTGGCGATTTGTCCGAAACTCCGCTGAACTCGTTGCTTGATTGCATACTTTGTTGCTGTTACTGCGCCACTCCTCCTATTGTTACTATTACTATTACTAAGTTATTACTAGCTGACTAGCTGACTAGCTAGCTCCAATACCAGCAAACTAGTGTGTGTAGAGAGGATATGACCATTGTGTAGGCCCAGTGTAGGCCCCATACCGACCAGGAAGGCAACAGCGCACAGGGCTATGCCATAGGAGGGGTGTTGATAGCTGCTGCAGCTGCTGATAGCAAGAGACTAGATGTGACTAGATTTTAGATAGATTCTAGATTCTAGATGTCTGGAGTCTGGAGCCCAATCCCCAAAAGCAAGTGTCACCAGTGCAGAAGGCAGCTTGCTCCAAACCAAACGGCAGGATTGGTGTCATGTATGACATGTTGCAAGCCCGAAAGTTATGCATTTCATTTGTTGAGGTTTGTCAACTTGGTCCACTCCCAAGACTTCGTGCATGTGGGCTACTACGTGCTGGCTATCAAGATGAACATGCAGACATGGATTAAAATTTCCCGGCCCAGGTGTGCCTGTCTCGTTTGGTGCTCCTTCAACCTTCGGAGAGCTCAATGCACATAGCCAGACACAGCAGTATCTCTTTCAATCCATGTGCGGTGAAGACAGCCGGATTGCCACACGTTGGGCTTCATGACATGATTGAACTTGTGGATGCCATGATGTCTTCAGCTCAAACGCTCAAGGCCCCAACAAATCAGCAATCCCATCATTGGTTCTCGTTGGAGAATTGAATGAGTACCGTCCCCATAATATGCTAGTCACTGCTAGTTAGGCACGACTCGGTCACAAGGTTGGATTGTTCCATGCAGCAGTGCAGCATCACTGAGGCACGAAAGGTGCTGGGGAACATGAGTGTCAGCAAGTTTTCGATCTTGCTTGACAACCGGATCACAGCGTGTGAGTGCGCCAGCTGCTTGGCACAGCCTGAATCCAGCCTGAGAAGGAAGCCTTGGGACGAGAAGCTCAAAGCCGTGTCGACCCTGCAGGCCGTCGAGGCTGAGTTGCCGGGACCCGTGAAGGGCAACATCCTGGGAATGTACATCGAGCACGACATGAAAGAGCTCCTGGAGACAGAGGCCGAGAACAGGATGGTGATCAAGGCTCACTCTCGGAAGCTGTGGCAGAGGCTGTTGCCACTCAGCTGTGAGTTGTTTTCAGGAGATAGTGAGGATGCACGGGACAGTTTCGACCCGACCAATCCGTTTGCCCTGGCTGTCAGGAACTCCATCCGTGACTCTGTCAAGACCAAGATCTTCGACGGCAGCGAGGCCAAGGAGGAGATCGAAGAGGAAGGGCAAGCTTTGGAATGCAACCTCCTGGAGTCTTGCTTGGATGCGATGGGAAGCGATGCGTTCTTCGCGATGCTCTCCGAGCCCCAGAAGGATGGAAATCAGCAGAAGATGTTTTTCTTCTTTGAAATCCTCTTGCAGGCTTCTGACACGGAGCTTTTCGCAACCTCGTTGGAAGCAGAGCCAGGGTGGGCCCAGGACTTCATTTCGAGGGTGATCTTCGTTGGCAAGGCCATCGCGGTGCTCTTCAGCCCCCACACGACGGATCTTGCGGGAAGCGGGATTTCGAAATCAGCATCAAGCTGATGTTGGGTCAAAACCCACTGCTCTCATCGGCAGTGGACGAGATCCTCAAAACGGCAGGGGCAGAGGCAAAATCCGGACACCTGCCGCAGCACCACATCCAGCAGCTGACACAGGCCCTGGAAACCGACACATGGCCTTCTTGTCTTCTCGAGGCCACGAAGGCCTGGGAAAACCTGAAGGGTCAGCTGCGAAGTGGAGCCTTCGGAAGAAGCTAGTCGAGGTGGCCCGTGTCAAGGCCACCAACCATGCTCAGTTGCTTGAGAATCCAGCTGCTTGTGAGCCCTTGGCAGCCTCCCTGTCTATCTTGCAACTTGAGGAGGGGTGCCTCGATGAGCTTCAACGTTTGCGCCAGTGGATGAAGGAGAACAGCACGCTGCTGAAGACGGGCCAGACGAAGGCGTACTTTGAGCAGCTGGCAGCGTCTGCAGATGCAGAGGAACTCAGCTCAGACGATGGAGCATTGCCTCTGGAGCTGTTGAAGCAGTTCCCCAGCAAGATCAGCAACATTGGGGAACGCATGGACGGCCGCGTCTCCGAGCTTCTCGTGAAATCCCTGCCGCTTCTGCTGCGTGCTTTGAAGCACTACGCCGCTTGCCATTGTTTTCAGTTCAAGGTCGGATTGAGGTGTAAATTCCAAGGCTTCACCACCCCATGCCAGACTTTCTACATCTTTGGTATTGGCAAGCTGCTTCGATGTCAACAAGCAATAGCCTCAGTAGCCACTAGCCAGTGGCCAACATTTCAAAACCTCACCTGCACGTGTGTTTGTTTGTTCTCGGGCAAGCAGCTACGGTCGTCGTCCCATCATCGCGGGTTGGTCATGTTGGTCCTAGGTCCTAGTCATGGTCCTCGTCCTAGTCACCATGACCCGATCCGTCCTTTTCATGATGTCGTAAGTCGCAAAGTCGTAGTTACTAAGTCCCAGCATAATAGACGAAGGCTGTGACGATGACTAGTGACTAGTGACTAGTGATTATCATTAACTAACTTGAGGCTTCGCCCAGAAGCATTCCTGCTGCTCATTTGTCGACATAGTATATGTTCGGAAGGCGAGCTGAGGAGAGGCGAGGTGCGGAGGTTTGCAGCTGTGGTGAGGTCTGGATTCCAGCGTGGAGGTGAGGGTCGCAAGGTGAGATGAGCTGACAAGGTCAGGTGATATCAAGCAAGCCGTTCTGGGATTGTTTTAACTTGTTAAGTTAAGTGTTAACTGTTATTAGTTGGATAACTGATGACGTATGACCTATGACTTCGTTACTTAAGATACTTATACTTATTACTTGGGTTTCAGTATACATGGTGACTTTGTCACTTAGACTGAGTCTTGTAATCTAATAACGAAACTAGTAGTTAGCGGAGTAAGTGGAGGCTAGTTAGTTACTAGTTACTAGTTGTGGGAGTATTTTGGCATTTCCCCGGCCCAACTCAATATCTCAATAGCAGCTAAGCAGCTACACCACAACCTTGCTAGCAGCCGGCTTGCTTTAGCAGTAGGTCAGTAGTGGGCCAGCAGTCAGTAGGCCTGACGGCGTAACGAAGTGTTTGAGCTTAGGGCTTTGTCGCTATAGTGCAGGGCCTTGCATACAAGATTGTCTTGACATTTTGAGCCCTAGCGGTTTTCTGTGCAGTGTAGTGTAGTGCTCGGGGCCCGCTGGTTATTTTGTATATAGGGGAACTCTCAAATTCGTTATCTAGGACCTAGGACCTAGGGCCTGGGGTCGTGGTCGTAGTCGTAGCCTTGCATCTTTCAAGCTTCTGATTTTCGTGGGTTCGTATGTCTGAATTGAGGTTGCTGCCGATGACAAGGAGCAGGGAGCAGCACTCCTGTCTTCCTGGCCCAAAGCTTTGAAGCTCTGCGAGCCCGTCCCCGAGAATGGGTTTTTCCTTGCGCAGTGTGAGGTCGGACGCCTTGGATGTGCTGTGCGAGCAGCGATCAAAAAGTTGGAACGCAGTGGTGCGACCAACGAGGCCCGTGTGGAGGCAGACCGGGCCTGCTTGCTTCAAGGGTCAGCAGCCAAGGCCGTGTTGGATTACCAGAGAGCTTCTGCAAAGGCTGACGACGAGCTTGGCAACTTGAGACGTGCGGGCTCGTCGATGCTGAGCCGAATCGAAGGTGTTGCCTTGACGAGCTTGTTCCAACAGGATGTTGACAACACCATCTTATCGGATTGCATCCAGCTGCGGGCGGCCCAGATCATGAACCAGTGCCGGGTTGCCGGCGACCAGTTCGCGGACCAGAGCATGGGCTTCCATGTGCCGGCCTCCGGATGGAAGAAAAGCATCAAGACGGAGGCGACCCTGTCGGATGTGCTCAAGCAAGCGGCCTTAACGATCGGCACATTGAAGGGAAACTTGGTGAAGACACGTTTGGACGAAGTGCTGCAGGATGGGGTTTGCAAACCTAAACAATGGCGGTTATTAGTGGTCAGTACTTATATTAAATATATTTGTTTGCTAGCTGCTAGTTCTAACCTTCTCGCCCTCGCATCGCGGATTCAGCCACCTTGAGCTGTGCGTGTGTGTGTGTGTGTGTGTGTGTGTGTGTGTGTTGCAGGGCCGTGATTCGGCCCGGTGCCATTTCCAACCCTAGGCCAGAGGCCCTAAACTTCTTAAACTACAAGTCGTCGCGAGTCTAGAGTCTAGAGGTTAGCGGGTGTAGTTGTAGCCGTAGCTCGGTTTCATTGCCTGGAGGCATCCAAAGACATTCGCAGCTTCATCGACAACTTCAAATCCGTGCCGTTTCTCGACATGCCCTCCTTGAATGAGACAGCATCCAAGATCAAGGTGCTGCACACCCAAGGGGTCGTGCTGACAATCGAAGCGTTGCTGTGCCATGCCATGAACATCAAAGCCAAGGCCAATGCCCGCGAGATCGTCCGGGCACAGCTTGCAGAGCTTGCTGGCCGCAGTTTGTCCGAGGACTTGATCGAGCCCACCTTGCTCAGCGAGGCCAAAGGTCTCATGTCGTGAGCTTTTCGCTTGGTCGGATCTTGTGGCTTGCCAAAACGTCGCTACCAGGTGGTACCATTGCTGCATTTACTACGTAACTAGAGTTGCAAACTTGAGCAGCCTGAGTGGACAGTACCGGCGTGATGGCCAAACCGCTTTCAGTTCTTCAAAGCGCTACGGCTTCGGCTACGGCGCTACGGCTACGGCTACGGCCTACGGCGGCCTGCGGCGGCTTCTGGCAAGAATCTTGATATTGCATACTCAAGTACAATCCGTATGCAGTGCGTTCACAACCAGATAGCCGCAGATAGCCACGGACGATCTTGCCAGATGTGTCGTGCTGCCCTTTTGCCTTTTGCAGCACTTCGAAGAGGCCGAAGCACGACAGTGTGCCGCAGGCTTCATCTCGATGAGCAGCGATGCGAAAAAATCTCCGCATCCAGAGTGCTTAAGTGGCTCCAGCTGTGACTCCGCAGACCGTTGAATCTTCGTGTTTCGGCAAATGTGTTCATGTGTATGGGTATGTGTGCGAATGTGTGTGTGTGTGTGTGCATGCGTGTATGTGCATGTGAGACAGAGAGACAGGCAAAGACAAATCACAAATCGAAAGAGGATGATTTGAACTGCTTTCACCTTCTATGTCAGATTCAATGTGGCGGTATGCTTTGTCGCCCACTCTACGACTCTACGGTGATTCTACGATTCTACGACTTGTGCATGGGACACCTTGCCAATATTTCGGAGATGACGTGGAGGATGGGTGATTGGTGATTTCATGCACGGAGTATGAAGCCATGCGGCATAGGTTTTCACTGTTTTTTCCTTGCGTTTTGCATGGGGGAATACAACTCTCAACTATTGACTATTGTAATGGCAAGACAACGCAATATCGCACCTTTGTGCTATTGCTGTCTTTCACTTCTGTGCTACACTGGCAAGTGGCTTTATTTCTGCATTTCGTGCGGGAAAATGCAACTTTCTACTGTTCAGTCTTATATTCTTATATTCGAAGAAAGTGCAATATTCCACCTTTGTGCTACATTGGCAAGTGGTTTGATTTCTGCATTTCGTGTGGGGAAATGCAACTTTCTACTGTTCTATTATTACTACTGTTATATTCGGGGAGATTGCAATATACCACCTTGTGTGCTAGATTGGCAAGTTGCTTTATTTCTGCATTTTGTGTGGGGAAGTGCAATTTTCAACTCTTGATTTTCGAGGACAGTGTAGCGGCTCCACTTTGTGTTAGATTGGCACGGTGCTTTATTTCTGCATTTCGTGTGGTAAATTGCAATATTCAGCTATTATGCTGGTAAAGTTACTTCGTGTTCTGCTTATTTTCTGCTTTTTGGATCGGATAGGTTGCTGCATTGTTTCCGCTTTTTGAATAATCTTATTAGGGTAATCATTTAAAGCCGGGACCGGGCAACACAACCATAGTGGTTTCTGTGGTGCATGAGGGGGCAGTAAGACGAGACGTCGGCTCGAATCGAAAACCCAAAACCCAAAACCCCGCTTCGTCAACTGAGCCATGCAGGAGGCAAAACAAACACCCAAAACCCTACCCTTGTTTTACCCTAAACCCTAAGAGTTCTGCATCCGAGGCTTCCAAGGCCACATCAACTGTCTCTCGCACCACAACTACGGACACCACGCCCCGCGGCGGAAGAGCGGAACTTCCCACCGCACTCTTACTCTTCGGACCCTCAGAGCATTCAAGCCCCCTTGATCATGGGCCGTAGAAGCTTCAACCTGGCAACCATGCCCGACCCAATCCTCCAAATCCCGACACCTAGTCTAGATTCCAGGAGCAAAGCTCCGGAGCAAAACTACACGCCAAGGCCCCAAAGCCTCAACAGTTGCCTCACAAACAGGAGCTCCCTTAATAAATGCCCCAAACCCCAAAGCCCAAACCCTGCCAGGCATGTCCGAGTGTCAGTGTCAAAAAACGCTGTTAAAATCTTTAAACCCTAGCACTTCTGAGCCAGAAGCTCCACTCCCTGGTTCTTCGTAGGGAGTGGGGAGGGGAGATGGATCTTTATGATAGTCCCTTGCAGTACAGTCCCCATAATCCATTCCCCCATTCCCTACTCAGAGCCGGGGAGAGAAGCTCCAGTACAGTCCCCATAAAGCCCCAAACCCCAAAACCTGTAAAACCCCTAAGCCGTAGCCCCCCCAAACCCTTCTGAGCCCAAACCCCCCTAGGAAGCCCGAAGGTGCATTCGGAGGGATTCCAGACCATCGTCTTCAACCCGGGGGATGGTCCGGAGATCGTCATCTGGGATAAGAGCCAGGCGGATTCAGCCAAAAAAAGTGGCCTGAATAATTACCTAGATTGTTCTTTGGGGGGGAGTTCCTGATAAGAGTTATAGCATAACAGGATAAGAGCCAGGCGGATTCAGCAAAATACAGGGGCCTGAATAATTACATATAACATTTTGGGGTTCCTTGTTATAATTGTAGCCTACTGGGCCCCAACACGCTGTTCTAACTATTAAGGCGCGTATATTGGAGGTGTAGGAGCTCGGTCGGATTCAGGAGTGCGGGACTCGGGTTGAAGCTTGCCTTGGGCTTTCGGGAGTTTAGGGTTCAGGGAGGTTTCAGCTTCAGAGTTTCTAGAGAGATCGGTGAAATCATACTACTGGAGGCACTTCAGAGAGACCTCGTTCAGAAACGAGTTTAAGATTCAAGTTGCGGGAGTTCGGGGTTCGGGGTTGAGTGCTTACCGTTCCGGGCTGAAGGCCCGATGGCTTGACGAGTTCCTGGATTCGGGGCAGTAGTATGTTGATTTATTTTGAGCAATCTCGGGTCTTGTGCCGGCCTGGGTTTCGAGCTGATGACATTGAGTCCTTGAGTTTTCGAGTTTGGGCACCCTTCAGGAGGAGATCCCAGCGCCTTTTACCCATCCAGGAGGATCCCCAAAGCGACTCGCCACTTCGCCCCGCTTCTTCCCCTAAACCCCTATTCCCCTAACGGAGAGCGTGCACCCGCTGGAGCCGAAGTGCCGGGGCCACCCCTGGGGCTTCTCAAATTCTCGGGGTCTTGCAGGCTTTTCGGGTTCGGGGGTCGAGTCACGTTAGTTCGAAGTGTAGCTACATTGTAGTTGTAACCAGGCTAACTAGCTGCCCTGATCGTTTGAGCACCCCGTGCGCTTGAAGGTGAAGTCCATGAGGCACATCGGCTCGTGAGAGAGGATTTGTTCAGCTGGCGAGACATGTAAACGCTACTCCTTGGAAACGGCCTCAAATGGGGCTGTACTGCCTTTGTGAGGGTACGCACCTTTGTCGTGCGGCTGCAAAAAAAGGAGTGCCCCTGAGCTTGGAGGAGTTTTGGGTTCCCCGTAGCACTGCTATAAAAGGGTTTAGGGCCGTTTAGGGTTTGGAGGCAGGCTTGAGCTACTCTAAATAAACCCTAAACTCTAAACCCTAAACCCTGGACCCTAAACCCTAAACCCTAGACCCTAAACCCGAAACCCTACACCCTAGAACCTAGAACCTAGACCCTAAACCCTAAACCCTAGACCCTAAACCCTAAAGCATCGTCGGCGACTGTGACTCGTTCCCAAACCGTCGCAGTTTCTGCCCCAAACGTTTTGCCCATGGAAGGCGAGCAACAACCTGGCGGCCGAGCCGTGCGCAGCCCGGGGATATTATAAGGGAGTTTCCGAAAATAGGGGTACTTTACTTGTGTGGGTCCTTATGATAAGGGTCCTATTATTTGGGGTAGTATAATATGAAGATCCCCTATTTTCGGAAACTCCCAAAGGGGACCTGCACCGTCATCCCCTTGTCCTGGCAGCTGAGTCAGTTTTTCTGGGAAGTGTATGTATTCTGCTGCCGTTTGAGCTTACACACCCTGCTCGGCACCAGGCTTGTCGAAAGTAATTACATGCGCTCATGAGCAGGACGGTGAAGGCATGCACAGCCCGTTCAATAGCCACAGCGGTCGACTCAAGAGTGCCGGGGAGCCGCTTCGCATGTCAGCTGAAACCCGGGCTGTGACGCAGCCTCACCTCGTTTCTCATGCAAATCAAGGCGCAAGCAAAAATCCGCAGGCTTCGGAGGCAAGAATGTCCGACAGCTAGCCTTAGAGAGTCGGCCATGGATGACGTGGACATCTACGGCGATCTCCTGCCGCCGAAGGCACCACCCGCCAAGGCTGTGTCCTCAGCGTCGGACCCACGACTGGCAGATGCTGGCGAAAAGCCGGAGCGCGGTCCTGGCGGTCCTGGCGGTCCTGTCGGTGCTGGCGGTGCTGGCGCCAGCGCCAGCAGCGCAGAGCGGCCGTTTCGACCGCGAGCTCGCAACTTGGTTTGGAAGGCACCCGAATTGGAGACCCCTGCGGTGACCCGCAAGGTGGTGGCCCAGGCGCCAAAAGACACCGATGAGCCGGAGGTGGTGGTGCTGGATGATGCGGACCCGCCACAGACGCAGCCACAGACGCAGCCTGCCAAGCCACAGCCAGCGGCCGCGGAGTCGCCGCCAGCCTCCGCACCGCCCGCGCAGTCTCCTCCACAAGCTGTCGCCGTCGTCGCTGAAGCAGTGACGGAGTCGAAGCCGAAGGATTTTGCAACTCTGCAGAAGGAGCTGCAGGCAGAGGAGGCATTGGCGGCCAAAGTCAAGCCTGAGACTTAAGTTTAGTTCGGCTCGTGGTTTGAAGAAACAGAGGAGAACATATTATGTTGAGATTGAGGACGGCATGTCGATTAGTGCCGGCTATTAACCCGCGAGAGGATTGTCCCCGAGACCCAAACGCGAAAGAGTGTGATCGTCCGGTGGTTGAATGAGCTTAATGCGAAGTTGGTTTGGGCCGTCTTCGGCGGCGTAGGGTCGGTGAAACTCAAACTAATAGGGGCCTGAACAGTTTGAACAGGCTTCTTTAAATATGAGGATATTTGGGACCCTCAGGCGATATTAGCTACCGAGTTGTGCCGCCCCCGAGCAGTGGAGTCGAAGCCCTGAAAAAATCGGTGCTTTGCCCCTGGAGGCCTCTGCGTGCCCGGCGGCCCCGGGCAGCCCAGTCTCCGCCGGGGCCGCGGATTTGGACTCCGACATGGAGGCGTTTTTCCTGGGTGTTGAGGTTTAATATAGGGGCCTTAATAGTTCGAATAGGGTTTTGGGACCCACTATACTGTAAAGATAATAAGGCACCGCCAAAAAGGTATAGGAAATTATTGAGGCCCCTATACAAACGAGTCGTAATGAGGGTTTCGAGGGTGAGAAAAGGAGAGAGGGTGAGAGGGAGTGTGAAAAGGAGAGAGAAGCCGTGGCTTCTAGCGGTTGAAGGCATGTTGGGACATAGGAGGGTTTTAGAGAGCTGTTCTGTTGTGTCTGTGGCCTCGATTGGAACTTCCTTCAAAACATTTTCGACTCGCTTTCACACAAATCGGGTTTTGCGTTGCTCTAGGGTCTTGCTTCAGGTTCTCCGGAATCGGAGGCTGCGCAGGGATCAATGATTTGAAAGCACAGAGCCTTGTACGATCAAATTGCTTCATTCTGCATAGGCCATATTTTGCAGTTGTGCTGGAGGCTTGTCGTTGCGAGTGTGCCAGATTTTGACGGGTTTCTTTTCGCAGGGCTTTCGAACGCAGGTCCTTTTCAGGTTTTTCCAGGCCCGTTCTACATCAGCGTTACCCTAGGTTCCGGTCTTCACTCCATAAAGGGTTAGGGATCGTAACAGGGCAGCCCATCACATCAGTATCTTTCAAAATCCTGAGCTTCGGTTGAGAGTTTAACGGTTATGGCAGGAGTTCGAATTGCAGATTCATATACCACCTTCTTGTCACTACTTATTCCTGTACTGCAATAGTGCTTGCTCGTGTAATCACCACTACCTCTCTTGATGATGATGTTGCTGTTGTCGCTGACGATGACAGCCACCGCAGTCTTCGTTTTGTTCCAATGCGATTGTCACAGCAACTACTCGTGCTGCCGCTACAGTTGCTACGATGGCTTAGTCTCGAACGCTGGTGGTAAAACTGCCAAGCCCACTTCGCAGAGGACGGCGGTGTGATCTCTGATGGGACGGAAGGAAGCGAGGCCGCATGCTCCGACTGTCCGAGTTGTGAGCGCCAAATAGCCCCAAGCCCGAGAGAACTGGCCAGGACGGCGAAATTCACCTCGGAGAGGCCGCAAATGGGGCATGAGAGTCCGATGGCCCGTTGGTGTCTTAGCCTGTGCAGAAAGATGATGTTGTTACGGAGTGCAGGAGTACCCATACTCGGAACTAAGCGCATTGACTGTTCGCAGAGTAGTCTTCAGAAGTGCCCTCTTCTTCAGCATATCTCGAACTTGCAGCCTCAAGCGCCAAGTACTTTGGTGAGTCTCATTTTGGAAGCTGCCGGCATCTCCGGAAACTACCGCAGGGACTCATGGCAACTCTCTGCGAAGCAAAGACACTGAAGCAGCCCAGAAGAACTCCCCGCCATCCGCCCCATCCAGTGAACGTAATGTAGGGGCCTTAGTAATTAGAATAGGGTTTTTGGGATAAATTTAGAACCCCCTAATAATGTAGGTAATTACTAAGGCTACTAAGGCTTCTATAGTAAACTTGTTTCTGCTTCGGAGGTGCGTGCCTCCGAGACAGGCACGGCAGCTCCCCACTTTCGGCGTGCTCAGGAGTGCCGGGCAAAGAAAAACTGTTGTCGGCATTCTCCAATGATGCGGGGGGGATGGGATGCATGCATCAACTTTTTCACATTGTCCCCGGCACCGTTGGGGTGTGTCCATCGCAGCAGCATGCCGCCGTGATTGAAGGGTTTGGGTGACATAGCCGGAAAGGCAGGCGAGCGCATGTTCACACGTGATAACATCATGGAGCCACCCGCTGCAAGATGATTCGGTGCCTTCCCCAAGCCAAGAAATCAAGTCCTCCGTTTGGGAGAGCTGCCAGGAGAAGGGCGATTCTGCGCCCTCATCTGGTGGCATGGGGCCCAAAGGGCCAAGGCGCTCAGTTTCGGATTCAGGGACGGGCAGCGGGAAGTACAAGTACTAGTACTAGTACAACTTACTAGTGCTAGTGCTAGTGCTAGTAGTAGTAGTAGTAGTAGTAGTAGTAGCAGTAGTAGTAGTAGTAGTAGTAGCAGTAGTAGTAGTAGAAGCAGCAGTAGCAGCAGCAGCAGGCGGTGGCGATGGTGGTGGTGGTGGTGGTGGTGGTGGTGGTGGTGGGGCAATCGCAGAGTCGTCATACAAGTAGTAGCAGTACCAGCACGAGCTGCAACTGTATTCCATGTTTCTGTATGTCGTATGATGTGATGATTCGTGCTCTGCTTATTCTCGGGTAGGTACGAATCGTTGCAATCGTAGTGGGCGAAGAAGAGAGACATCGCAGTCAGCAAAGGGACCGAAGCTTGACAAACAGGATCAAGAAGAAGGAGATTCTGCTGTTTATCGGGCCGCCACCGCCGTTGCCGCCACTGGTGCCCTGGCGATCTTTTGGGTCAGCTCCGGGCTTTCAACCATGCTTATCAAAGTCTTGGTGGCTCATGAAGTCCTCCAACAATCCATCGTATGACTTTCGCCGAAGCCCTTCACCATGAACCCAAAGCCTGGAGCGTCCGAGTTGCGGGGCAAAACCCGCAGCATTCCAGAATTTGGCTACAGCCCTGGGCCCTACGTACTGATATACGCCCAAGGTCTCGCACGCTTGAAGAGCTGTAGTGCTCAGGTATCGCACGTTCTGGGCTCCTCTATTCTTGATTTCGATCTGCCCGGAACGTGAAATCCTGGAACCTGAGACTTGTTTCAGCCCGGATTTCGGAATGAGAAAAGATGGGGTATCGACGAACTCTACATGTTACCGTATGTTACTCAGATTATGCTTATGGCTGTTTTGAAGGATACTTCCTGCTATAATGGCTTATGGTTCAATCACCTTGGCCCAAATCTCGACCCCTGAGCCCTCCCCCCCTCTCGGAAACGATGCCTCTGTTCGAGAGTACCAAAACGCCTGGAAACTTGAGGGTTGAGGGCTAAACCCTATAATTTAGAAGGGCCCCCACCCTGTAATAGTGGTATAGTAGGAATACAATGGGGCCCTAATGTAATCCTTATATTCGCTATTGCAGGGCGGGGGGCCCCTTCTAACCTCTTGAAGTCTTGGAGGGTCGGCGGACTTAGTAAGTAGGTAGTAAGTAGACTTATAAGTACCCTAAAAGGGACCCTAATTGGGGTTATGGTACTTATAAGTCGCTAAAATTACCAGTTGCTAAGTCCCCCGACCCTTCAAGCTTTCATCCCTAAACAGGGACAGCCTGGCGAGAGCACTTCGCTACTGATTGGAGGCCTCCCGTGGTGGCCCGGACTGCAGAAGTACTTGGGACCTTCGTTTCGTTGGATGTTTTGTGCCCTTGCGCCCTGCGCCCGGAGTTTCCGAGTTGGAGTCTTCAGCCTTTGCGAAATTATCTCCCTGCTAAGGTGGCTGACCGACACGGAGCTGCGAAGGCCCGGCCCAGTCTCCGGAAATTGCTCCTTCTCGTATTGCAGGTATAATTCATGAACTTATCTGAAGATGTAAGACAGCCTCAGAAGATTTTACGGGAGCCCGAGATAAACTTCAGAGGATGCCTCTTTGACGCCTGACCCAGAGCCGAGCCAGCGTCAAACCCGAAGCCAAGTAGAGTTACAGAGGTATGGCGAGCAGTACGGCCAGGTCCGGCGACTGAGGTTGGGAGGGGCTCCGGCATTTCGGGGTATGGGGCTTGGAAGATGCTGGAAGCTCCTGGAAACCTGAAACCTTCGCGACAACCCGAACATTGTTCCCCTTAGCCGTAATCACCGTAATCAAAGTTAATACCAATATGATATGAATGTTAATATTGAATTTTTTATGAATACTCATGAATATGAATGTCAGTATCAGTATGAATGTTAACAACTATGTGTTGATAAAGCTACACGAGGATCTTGGATTTCGCGGGCAGCGGCAAGTCGGCTGGCGTGGCGCTCCTGGAATTCGCGCAAGTGGACGCTGCGAGGCTATCGTTTTGGGGTCTTAGGGTTTAGGGTTTGGCCTCGTTCAGAAAAGGGTTTAGGGTTAGGAAGTTGGAGGGTTTTCGGCGTTTCAAGGGTTTTGTGGTTTTAGGGCTTGAGTCTTTAGGCTGACTTCTCGCTGGCTGACACTAAGAGCCCAGCTGCGAAGGGTGAACTCTGAAAGCTTGATGCCTCTCGCACCACAGCGCCCCAAACGAAGCTAAAGGCGTCCAGAGCCCGAAGGCTTCTGTCTTTTTTGCAGGCAGGCACTTCACCCTGATGGCCTCTGCCGACCCCAGCTCTGGTCCTTTGGTTTAAAGAGTTTGCGGCTTCAGGTTTGGACTTGAAAGTTTTCGATTACAAAGTCTCGGTGCACGAAAGGCTAAGCAGGGTGTACAGTTCGCGATGTTTCGCTTGGCCCGGATCAGAGTAATGCAGTAGCCCGAGAATCTGAAGTCCTGCGTGGGGCGAACCCATGCTCAGACCTTTGAAGCACCGCTTAGACAAGAGCCGTCCTTCGCCCCACTGTTTTGGGGCTCATCAGGTGGAGCAGTGAACCTGTGACACCTCTCAGGCAATAGAGCTCAGGCCCCGAACCCTTTGCAGCTAACCCCTCCACATCCCAACCCCATCACCCGCTGTGCTAGCGAGCCTAGGCCTGAACCCCGAATGCCCTCGAACCCACACAGAAGCAACCCCAAACACCACATATCCATAGTAGCATTCCCCTGAACCCTAGCATGCGCACAAAGAAGGCGCAAACACAAGCCAACCCATTAACAACCCTAAGGTCTAGCCTCCTGACTCCCTCAAACCCCGAAACCCTAAACCCCAAACTGGTTCGTCCGAGAGTGAGTGCTGAAACCCCAAACTGCAACATGCATATTGTTTGTTGTTGAGCTCCTGGCGTAGGCCACGTCGCAGCTCCTTCAATGCAAGCATTGTCTGCAGACCTTGCCTGGCTTTGTCCGAGTGTGAGCGTCAACCCCCAAACCCCGAAACCCCGTAACCGTCAAGGCGGACACTTGGGGCTGCCCCGCGCGCCGCGGCCGTCGGCGGCGAGCTGCGGGGGCGCTTGCGGGAAGGCCAGGGCGGGCAGGTTTTCGGGGTTTAGGGTGCTATTAGGTAGAAGCCGCCAAGCTTAAAGTAAGTAATTAGCAATGGTCTTCCTTAGTGTTCTTCATTATCATTTTGGTACGATACATGGAAAAACTCTTTCCAATCAAAAAGGCCCCAATAGGGCATTGGTTCGGGCCGGCCGATTTGGGGCTTGGGGCCAATGTAGGGTTCCCCACTATATGTATAGCACAGTATACCGCGAAACCCTATGCCCATTCTAATTACTACTGCTACTACGGCCCCTATCTTCAGGATGTGGTTTGGAGTATGCTGCGACAAGAGCAAGCAAAGAGCACAGTTTGGCTGGCTGTAGAGCCGTAGGAGTTGGCAATCGCTTGCTGTGGCCGGGACTGCAGACACGACTTTCGTAAACCTCAGCACGCCGTTCTGTGCGAGCGATGCACGGAACCCCCACATTTGCCGTGCCCATCCGTGCCCCGAAGCAGCACACTGACAACCGTAGTCGAAGTGCCTTTCTTAGCTTCTGCGATTCAGGACATCCAGATATCTAGGCGCCCAAAGAACCAAGCATCTTTGTCCCTCATAATAGCCCTTCTAGTACTTCTATGCTTATAGAACTACACATAATATATCATAGTATGCTAGTTCCTGCCTTTCCTCGTGGTGCGGAAGCCGTGTACCATGTTACATCTGCACAACTTGTAATGCAGCAGAGGCACTGTGCCGTGGCTGGACGGCGGCCCATGCAGCGAGGTCTTTGCATTTTTCTCGAAAAGCGCAGGGTATGCTAAACCCATCTCAAAACGTGGTGTTCCTGGGTGTGGAGTACCATACTTGAATACTTTTTTTGGTACCTGTTCCTTAAAGGAACCATTATGAAATAAAAAGTCTATACTTTTGTCTCCCTGGTTACTTGAAAGTCCAGTGTTTCATAGCAGGAAGAAGCGGGGTGTTTCAGGCTTCGGCTCGGGTCGCTTGTGAGAGCTGGGCCCTTCGGCCGGGTAGTCTGGGAGTTTCCGAAGATGCTGGGAACCTTATTTTGAGGGTCCTGAAATTAAGGATCCTACTTTTCAGGGTACTATATTATGGTCCCCCATTTTCGGAAACTCCCATACAGTCTGTCCGCAGTGCCGCGCCGGCTCGTCTGGCGATTCTAAAAACACTGGGACCCGATTCCGACCCTCAATACTAAAGTCAGGGGAGCCCTTAATATTATAGTACCCTTATAGATCCCTCATAGTAGCCCTTATAGACCCCTTTAAAGGGACCCTATTCTAATTATTTAGGCCCCTATTGTCTTGCCAATTTAAGGCTTTTTGATTTCGGGTGGTCTGAGAAAGCAGGAAGCAGACACTGCTGGCATCACGAAGCCAAAATCCACGGAGCCTGTCGGCAGACATTGTACTGTAGGGTCCGCATTTTGGAGTACTAGTAAAATTTGCCCTAATTCTCACTGGGTCCCTGGGCGCCGGGTTAAATCCTGGTTTTTTGAGACCTCGTGCCCTGCCTCCTGACCAGGACCTACGGGCCATGCTGCTAAGACAGTGCCATGGGTGCACTTGGACTTCTACGGTTCAACAGCTTCCTCAAACTTTTGCCAGTTTTCCTGTCTCTGGGCATGCATAGGTCTAAGTACACGCGTGCACAATCCCTATACCCGAGATGACGGCCACCGACCGGATTCTCCTTGTCAAGAGTCGTTCCAACGGTAGTGGTAGCGGTTACTACTTCTTCTACTTTGACTGCTGCTTCTACGACTGCTGCTGGTGCTGCCACTACTGCCCCTGCAACTGCGACTGCTGCTACCACGACGAGTACGGCGTACGGTACGACTACGACGACGATAGCAACGACGATGACGACAACGACGACAAGTAGTCCCGCTACCACGACTCGCACCGCTACTTCGCCCCTACCTCTAGCAAGACGACGATGGCAAGCACTACCGATACTCTCCAAACGCTGGAACTGCCAAGCTCTGAGGTGCGGCATGTCGGCTCCCGCACCACGCCGATCGCCCCCGCGAAACTCCCGGCAGCGCCAGCCACCAAGGGCGCCAGCGAAGCGCGCACCGGAGGCGGCTTTATGGCAGGGCAGGGTTTGAAGGATTTTTACGGTTTGGGGTGAGGACAGGCTGTCAAGGCATGAATCCTCACCCCTGAGACCCTGGAGTCCATGCCCCAAGGCACGTTTACTCTGGAACTTACTCCCTGCAACCGTTGATCGCACTTAATTGCTGCGATCGCTCTCCGACAGCCTGTCGTCATGTGGCAGGTTCCGAAAATTACGGGTACCTTATTTTGGGGTCCTGGTTATCAGGATCCTACTATTTAGGGTGCCATATTATGGTTCCCTATTTTCGGAAATTCCCATTTGTGACAGAGGAGATCAGCACGCGGGCCGAACGCATGCCCGACCCAAAGCCTGAAACCCTCAACCCTAAAGGCTTGAGCCCGAAACATAGACTGTTGAAGGAGAGTCCTGCCAGCTGGGCAGAGAAGCTGAAGAAGCTCAAGAGCTGCAGCCTTGAAGTGGTCTTTCGGGTTTACGATATTGGCCATGTTTAAAATAGGGTATTTAATAGAGGGTGTTGCAAGGCTTTCCTAGAAAGGCGGTTCTATGGTCTGAGTTTAAGCCTGAGGGCCTGTCTTAGCCTCACGCAGTCAGAATCCGGGATGGATGCTGATCTTGAGCAACCTGCACCTAGGTCCGGAAGATTTTCACCGTCAGAAGGCCGAAAGCCAGCACCTTTGAATCTTGCTAGATCAGACCTCAACCCAGCCCTAAACCCTGACTCGCAAACAGGGAAATCGTGGACCCGATCCACAAACACTTCAAGTGAAAGGGAACCAAACCCCCTAAGCTCTGCAAACTTCGAGAAGGACTTGAAACCCTAAACAGCGCTCCGAACGGGCATTTCCTCCTTCAGACTGTGGCCTGCGCTTGAGCTCCTACAGACGCAAGCCTCGCAGTCATCCGCAACTTCTCAAACGTCCATGGCAATGCTAGTACGACCCTAAGCCTTTAAGCCGAAACCCCCCCGAAACCCTAAAACCCTAAGCTCTAAACCCTAAACCCTAAAAGCCCAACGCCCTGAATGGAGCCATGTGCCCGGTGCCGCTCCGAGGCAACGTCAACTCGCGGCTCGACTCAAAGTGAAGCCTCTGCCTGCGAGGAAAAATGGACCGCTCAACCGGAGGTTCAGGGTTTGGGGTTTAGGACAAGGAGCTACAGGGAGCAGAGTCCAGGCATTCTCGGCACGGAGATCCTTGACACAGGCCTTTATCTGTCAAGTCCTTGTATGATTTGCTGGTGGAGGTACAACATGCGGTACATCCACGAGTGGGCGCCCCTGAGAGAAGATCGGGTGCTTAGCAGGATGAGGCTATGTTGTCGACTTCGTTTACTACTGTTCATGATGACTCAAGCAGAAGTCCGTAGTCGTTGATGTTGTCATTTCTGCTGCCATGCTATCAGCTGGCAGCGAGCATTCTTGCTGTGGCTTTTGCTGTTGCTCCATTGTTCCTAGTTTTGCCGGACCCGGCTCGCCTTAGCATGGCCTCTCCGTGGCTAATGCGTTTGCCACCCTCCCGAAATCCCGAGCACTGTCGCTCAGTTTGGGGGCCGTGTATGCCAGCGAAGGGCAGTGGGAGAAGGCCCGATGCATGTCCCGATGCTGGCGACGTGATTGGGGGTTTCGGAAGCTGTTAGCCTATGACGATGGCGACAAGCGTGGCGACGGTGATGATGTGGCTGTGGATGCACATGGTGACCAGGACGTGGCGACGATGGTGACGTCAACTGTGATGTTATATCAGTCTGAACCATGTACAACAAGACAGTGTTGTTATGTCGACTTTAGGATTCGGGGAGTTGAGGACATCTTAGGACTTCCGGGCGTGGAAGCGTTGGAGCCGGAATCGGCGGCCTGGATAGCACGCTTACTCAAACTCATACCCAAGTCTGGGAGTTTCCGAAAACAGGGGACCCTAATATAGTACCCTACAGGCTTTGAGCTCAGAGTGACTGTGCTGCCGAAATATAGTACCGTTAAATAGTAATAAGGATCCTAAAATAAGGTACCCTATTTGCTCGCTCTGCTCTGAAGGGCTTTGATGGGCCGACAGCAGTTTCGGTCTTTCAGGGTCTGCTTGCGGCATAACCAGGCGCGACATGCAAGTCTGATGTAAAAAAGGTACCCTATTTTCGGAAACTCCCAAGTCTACGTATTTTGGCACGGAGAAGACTGTTATTCTTGAGGGGATCGAATCCTAAGAGCTTGAAAAACTAGGCGAAACATCCCCCTTCTCGTCCCCTTTCCAAGCGTACTCCTGTAGGAGCCTAAATAATTGGAATGGGGTCTTGGGGGCTCAACTATATAGTATATAGAATATCCGCCCAAACCCTGTTCCAAGTATTAGGGCCGCTACATGACAGTGGGCCCGAAGATAATTTTTAAGACACGGCGGTTGGTATATCCCAGGGTGCAGGCTTTGGGGGCTGTCATTTGCAGCTCCAAGTTGCGCGCGCAAGAAGCCAAGTTCCGGCACAGGCGGCAAACGTCATGCTGAGAGGCCGCGGCCCCAGTGCCTTGCAACAGCTCATGGCATGTGCTTCGGTTTACAAGAGTGATAAGTACCCTATTGGAGATACCCCAATTTTATCCATACTGATAACCGACCCACAAAGTTTCCTGGGCCTCCAAGTAGTTTTTTTTGCTATGTGGGTCGGACCCATGGGTTTTGGCAGGCGGCGTGAACTGCTTCAGGCTGGCGGTAGGCGAGAACCATGTTGCGAGTCGCAGTGTCCACAAGGACATGGACAGAAAATCGGTGGGAAGCAAAGCCCCCCCATAGCATATCGCAGTTCTGCCGTCTTAACCAGATTGGGGCTTTAGGGTTTTCGGGGTTGCCCTGAAACCGACGCCACCGACTTTAGCGCTCTTTTGCTTGATGGGTTCGGGAGAAGGCGAGGAGCAGCTACGGGATCGTCTCTGATTCCGAGGCCCTGGCCCGGCCCGGAATCAAAAAGAGTGAACAAGCAGTAACAGCCAGAAGGAAAGGAGCATGACAAATATTGGTGGGTACATATCAAAATCTGCGCGACCCTCTGGAGAGAGAGATATGACCGTGTCTAGTTCTACCGCAGTGCTCATCTTGGTTTCGCAATCATGATTGCTGGTGGTCGTAGCCCTTGACTTGGCAGACTGGCTTGTGGTGCAGCTGTGAGCATACAGTAGAAGCCAGAAAGTTGGAACATGGCTTTAGGAAGATTAGTGCTAGGATCCCTTATGCTTTAGCTTAAGGGCATGAGGAGTCTGATGTTCCAACTTTCTGGCTTCTACTATAGGTAAAAGTTGACATCCTCTTGCCTGGACTTGAGGCCATGGGTAGATAGAATGGGCGCCGAAACTGCAGATGCTTTGTCTGCTAGTTCGCATCCTCAACCCGCTATCTCAAGCAGAGCGCCCTGAATGCTAAGGTTGGAAGAGAGCGAGCGAGATCCCGGATGAGCATGTCCGTTTCCGCTTCCTTATGAAGCTGCACCGGTCTCAGGGTTTGGGCCACGAGCCGCCAACCCTGTATTGCCTTGCGCAGTAGTTTCCAAGGAGTACCGGACCTTGCACGCTTGCGGCTCAAGGCGATTGGGCTGCGAACATGAAAGGGGCATCTCACCGACCTCCCGATCCCACCAGCTGGGGAAGCGAATGCAAGGCCAAGTAATGCAAGGCACTCAACGCGTCTCTGGCGCGGCTAGCGTCTCAAGGTGGAAGCACTCGCGGTGAAGTTCGGGGAGGTGAATCTCAAAAACCTTTCGTGTCCTGACCAAAGTCAGGGATTGGTTCCGGTCGCTTCTTGTAAAGTTCAACACATCACAGAACAAGAAGAAGCAACCATGCCCGAAAGAGGTGTTCGATGGGCTGCGGCTTTGTCAGATTCAGGACAACGGCAATCTGAGCCGAGAGCTTGTCAAAAGCGTACTTAGCAAATTCATGGAGGAGTTCAAGTCAGAGGCCATGTGCAAACTTGCTCACACAGTTGTTCCGGACGAGGAATACGGCCTGGGCGGTATGGACTGTGTACGGTTCAACCAGTTTTTCCATAGTCTGAACATGAGAGCATGGAGGCAGAGCTCAACCCTTCACTCGAGGAGGAGAAGTTCTCGTGGTGGTGGCAACGCCAAGGCTGGGACGACCGTCAATATTCAGCCTGGCGCGACTCCGGATCCTGGAGCTGGAGGGGCGGCTGGGGCAATGACTTTGGAGATAGGTCGCTCAGCCAGTCTTCGGATGTGAATGCCAACCCGCAGGAACTTCAGGGATCCGGTGCCGGAATCACCGGGAGCCAAGCAGAGGCTGTCAAGGTGCTAACGCGACAAGCCGCTGAAGCGGTCTTGCAATCCCTGAGCACGAAGCAGGATGAGTGCATCATCGTGTCGACTGCCGCCGGCCCATGTCATGGAGACCACCGCTGCCGAGGAGGTCGCCGAAAGCGCACAAAGGAACGAACTCATCCAGCTGGAGTCCAAGAGACAGTAAGGCAGCTTGAAGAACGTGGAGGCGCAGTGGAAGAAGCCTCGGTATGGAGTATGTGCGAAATGCCGACTGCGAGAACCGCGTCCTGTACTGCTCAGAGTGTCGAGACGAGGCTCTCAAAGATTGGACTGGTTTTTGATCACGTTGTGGCAAAAGGGTGAGTCGGCAGATACAAATGAAATTGGCCGGTTTTATCTCTGATCAGGGCGAGACCGTCCAGGCAACGCTGGTTAGGCAGAGCCCAAAGTCTCTGATGTTTCATCCCGTCACACGGAGAAACCAACCGAATGCCGGCGCGTGAACTCACCTGAAAAGGCGTAACATGGCGCACCGTACCCTTTGCCGTAATGCATGATTGCACAACGAGTTGCTTGCGCAATTGTTGCATCTGCTAGGGGTCTATACTGTAGACTCTACATGTGGATTTATCCCGCAACCAGCACTGCGAACGCCCATGTGCGTAGTTGCATCGAGCCGCCTGGCACCATACTGGAGCCAGTCAAAGTATGGTTGGACTGACTGTAAGATGCAGCCTGCGAACAAGATGGAGTGCGCTGCTTTTACTGCCGGTTTAAAGTAGTCCTTCCCTAGTAGCCCTCATTATCATGCCTGCGTCCATTGAGGTTTATTGCTACCATCATCACGCCTGCGTCCATTGAGGTTCATGTCGTGACTTCGTTTAGGTTACTGGGGAAAATTGTTCTACTGTATCCGGAGTAATGCGATGGTCAGTGATTGGCGTGCTTTGGTGATTACGGTTCGGGATTGCTGCAACTAGGGTTTTGGGTGTCAACCAACTCTGTAAGACAGTGTTGGGCTCTGAGTCGAGGTGGAGTTGGGGATGCATGGCAATAAAAGCAGCCTGGTTTCGACGCTTACACTGGCGCAAGGCAGGCAAGGCTTCACATAGTCCACAGTATCTCCGCTACATGGTGCAGTACATGACAGTGATGATGTACTCCCAGAAACAGGGTCGCTACACAAAACAGAAAGTGTCCTACAGCTGACCGTCATCATGATGAGTACAGCTGGTCTCGGATCAGCGATCCGCTATTTCAAAGGGACTCCGTCTAAGCCACCAAGGACTGTCTCTCTGGCCTCACTTCATGCTCGTCAAGCATACAATTCTCGAACTCTTGCTCCTTGAATTCTACTAACTCCCCTCGCTCAACATTCACCTCCTCACTGAGTAGGCCATGCAGCGATTCCAAAACTCATAGCAGGGACATGCAGGGTATGCCATCATCCCATTACAGGCCGGCCATGCAGTGGCGACATTTGTGCAAAGAGCCACCCAGCGACACCCTAATGGCCCATGTAGCCCCTAATTATCCCGAGTACCTTCCTCACTCCAACTGAACCCGAAATCCTAGACCCCACAACCACGCCATGCGGGCTGCGGCTTTGCCCTGGCGAAGTAGGAGGCAAAACACCCCAAACCCGAAACCCCAAGCCCTAAACCCAAAACGCCATGCCCTCGATCCCAAACCCCAAACCCTAACACCCACCTTAACCCTGAATAACCTACCTTTCTAGGGTTCCTTATTATGACTTCCTTGTATAAGTCCTTAAAAAGGTAGGTCCTTCAGCGTTAAGGCACGCCCTAAAACCCTAGCCCTCCGAAGCCTTGCAACCTCCGAGGAGCGAGGCATCCTTCCGGATCAGCAAGCCCCGTCAGGCCCATAGGGTGTTTTTTTTTTTTTGGTTTAGGGCTTTAGGGTAGGGTGTTTAGCTTTTTTTTTTGTTTTGGTTTAGGGGTTTAGGGGTAGGGGCTTAGGGGTTTAGGGGTAGGGGTTTAGGGTTTAGTGAGGCCCCACAGTGTCTTCAGGTTTTAAGAACGGGCTCAGGGTTCAGGGAAGAAAAGGTGGTGTAGGGTTTCGAAAAGGGTTCAAGGGTTAGGCTGGAATTGCTTTTTGATGAAGGTTCGTGAAAAAGTGACAGGCTTTAAGCCAGGTTCATATGAAGTAGGGTGTCTACAAGGGATGTTGCTGAGTGTATATAGGAGTGTTGGTTTTGGGTTCACTACGGGGAGAGAAGGGGGGCAGCATGCGAGGTTTGGGGCTTTGCTGCCTGGCCAGCATTCATAGATTCAAAGATATAGAAGGTCCCGAGGACACCAATTGACCGTGGAATATGGGCTGACGCAGGATTGGATGCCTCCTCGTGAAGCGAGGCTTTGATGTTCAGTGTATTGCTTGTCTGCACATGTAAGGCTTTGAGTACCAAGCCGACTGGTAGCTGGCAGCACCCAACTTTTGGAGCCTATCCAGACCCCACAAACCTCAAACTCTGCATCCTGCAGCCTCCTCCCCAAACACCTCAACACCCAACACTCTAAACCTCACGAATATCTTCACTCTTTGGTTCCCGCACACAGGCCTCGCAGACCTTTTCAAGGTTCAGGGGCCACTGAAAAGTGGTTCTTAGGGGTCTTCAAGGAGTCACGGCCCAAGAGGTTTTCTGCATTTCGGGGTTCGTATGTTACTGGGAGGCACTTTGGGAGACTTTTTGATTTCCCTAATGGTTCCTACAGAGGCACCTGCTCATAAATACGTTTTAAGGGCCCCTAAACCCTAAACCCTAAACCCGAAACTACAACCCAGTATAGGGTCCGAAATATATAGGGCTTTTAGGGCTTTTTTTGGTGTCAGGGGCGAGGCTTCAGGGTCTGGTGTTGAGGAAAGTCCTCTCCAGATACCGGCTGTGTATCATGCTGCCTGCCAGGATGCATGACTTGCAGTTATGTTTCTTGCCCTTTTTTTGTCATTTTGTGTGCTTTTTTTGTAACATTGTGTGCTTTTTTACATTGGGCGAAAGAATAGAAACTGCAGTGGTGCTTCGGCAGACATGCCTGTGCAGGCTTTCGCAGTTCTCAACAGCCGCAGCCTCGGATCGGGGTGTTGGTTGGAAGCTACCTGGCATTAGGCCCAAGGCCCTGCAACTGAACTTGTCGACGTGGGGGCAGAAGTTGGCAAACCGGGTTTTCTGCAAAAGCTGTATACAAGCGTTACTCACGTTGGACATGCTCCAAACCCCTATGCTAGTCACATGAGTGCTCTGTGGTAAATGAAGCCCTGGATCCGAGGAAGCCAGAAGGAGACTTAAATAACTAATACTAATACTATATAATACTAATACCAATTACTAATACTAATTACATTATTACGAATTACTAATAGTAATACTACCCCATACTATTTTGGGGGTTCCTTATTAGATTTCTAGTCTCATGGGCCTCAAAACCCTGGGTCTGATTAGTGATTAGTGAGGCCCCTATGTGAGCCCCCCCTTATAGTAACCCTACTAGGACCCTGTATTTGAAAGGAACCCTAGTCTACTTCTTAAGGCCCCTATATTGGGCCCTTAATACGAGCCCTTGAAAGGAACCCTAGTCTAATTCTTAAGGCCCCTATATTAGGCCGAGCCGTTATCTCCAGAGCCTCCCGGAGATTCAGTGACCCCGTCCTGATGGGTTTCTCACGAAGCGATCCTTTTGATCAAGGGGCCTTCATTGGAAGTATAGTGTTCTTTTTGGATTCCCTTATACTTTAAGGGCAATATGGTGTAGGGGCCTTAATAATTAGAACAGGGTTTGGGATGATACCCTAGACGAATGGTGTAAGAAACTGGTCAACCTTGAATTACCTTTCATTGCCACGACGCCGACCCGCTTTCTGAGGCATCGAGGGGCCGCCGAAAAATGACGACCTCTTCCCCTTCCAAGTCATGCGTGGGACCGAGGGCCTCCTTTGGACGCTGAAATGCGAGGCGATGACATCGATGTTGTTGTTGCTGCTGTCGTTGTTGTCGTCGTCGCTGACGGTGCTTCCATGATGGTGGCCCTCTCAACTTATGATGATGATGATGATGATGATGATGATGATGCTGTTGATGGCAATGGTGGGGGCAGCGGTGGTGGTGGGATGCCAATCAAAAAGACTTTTTTCAATCAATATTTTTCAACCAAAAAACTATTTACAATCGAACAAAAATTTCCCTTTGCAATAGAAGGAATAAGAGAGTACGGAAGAAAAGAAGGCAGTAAGGAAGGAGGGAAAGCAGGAAGGAAGGAAGGAAGGACAGTAGGAAGGAAGGAAGGCAGGAAGCAGAAAGGAAGCAAGGCAGGAAGGAGGGAAGGAAGGAAGGAAGGCAGGAAGGAAGGAAGGCACGCAGACAGGAAGGAAGGCAGGAAGGAAGGAAGGCAGGTAGGAGAAAAAGAAGGAAGGCAGGAAGGAAGGAAGGACATTGGACAGCGGTGGTGGTGGTGGTGGCTGGATGTTGACACTTGTGGTTGTGGTGTCAGGCAGCCACATTTGTTCTTTTCTCGTTCCTGTTCTCTGATCATTTCCTCGGCATTTGGTCGGACCTACATGCGTTGCGCCAGGTTTAAGGGCCCCTGTCTTCGGATGTACAAGGAAATTAGATGCCAAGATGTGCCGGAGGTCCCGAAGCTGAAAGAGGAAACTTAGTAGCTGAGTGCAGTGGCTCACTTCCTTCGAAATCTTGGCTGCTGGTTTTGCATCGCCGCGGCACGCTACAATTTGCATGTGAGCCACACGCACTGTGAAAATACGATGAAGTTTGGTTTCTGCTTGCTTCAGGGTTTAGGGTTTAGGGCTCTGAAATCCAAGGGTTCCGGAAGCCGCGCAGCCGAATCCCGGGACATAAACCTTCGACACGAAGGCCTGAAGCCTGAAGCTATAGGCAGAAGATCCGTAGGAACCCTCAATCCTTGCAAAGGGGAGATTCCGAAAATAGGGGACCCTAATATAGTACCATACATAGTAGGATCCTTATTATAGGGACCCCCAATATAATGTACCCCTATTTTCGGAAACTCTCATATCTTGCAAAAAAGGAGGCCGTGTAGGCACTCTTACGGGGCATGTCATGGGAACCCCGAACAGGAATCCTGAAAGGAAAGTAGGGATCCTGAACGTAGAGTTTTCAACTTAGTGCCTTCGAGCTGTGAGAGACTCTACAAGCTCCCACCCAGAAAACCATGCGAATTCTAATTCTGGGTTTAGGGTTTTGGGGCTAGACACCCAACCCAAACGTCCAGCCCTGCCACCTCAAGCCCCCAAAGCCCCCCACCAAGAAACCCTCAAGCCCAAAGCGATCGGAAACAAACCTAAACACCAAAACCTGAAACCGCAAAACCCAGAAAACCTGTAAGCCCTTGCGTTGCTTGTGTCAGCATGGCTTAAGCTCACCCGCTGGCTGAGGTCTGTGCAGGCACTCCGCCGGTTAGGGTTTCGAGGGTTGAGGGCTTGGGGTTTGGGGGCTGTCTAAAGGATCGATCCGAGGTTGTTAGTTTCACAGACGAAAAGAGCAAGCTTGATCCGTCGGACCAGGTTTGTTTCTTGTGAGGAGGGGCAAACCTTCCCCACTCCGCGGGATCGGGTTTGTTTCTGGGAAGTCTCTCTGGCACAGTTTCGGAGAGAGACTAACTCCCTGGGGACGGGGTCCTGTTTCCGGCAGGAGAGACGAAGAAATTATCCTGGTCGGACCGGGTTTGTTTCTGCTAGCAGAACTAACTCTCTCCTGAATATAGGGAAAATAACTGTCTCCGCAATGAGTAGTTTCGGAGCGACGACGGCGGCGATGAGGATGACGGTGGTGGCTCGACGATGCTGACGGTGATGGCGATGGTGATGACGTTGGTGGTGACCATGATCATGATGGTGGTGAAGATTCGGCGATGATGATGATGATGATGATGGCGGTGATAGCCATGAACGTTTTGGCATGGGTGATGATGCTGCTGTTGATGCAGAGGGGCAGGAAGCAGCTTCCACGGCAGCGATTTAAGGAAACTTTGATGTACTTTCGGGCTGGAGCTCAAGTAAGCCTCCTGCAAATGGCCATAGGATCAAGTCGTACGTTAGCGCTGAAATCTCGCAGTTGTCTCCGAATCCCAAACCACAGAGTCCGCGCTTGACTGCGTCGGATCAGCACCCCCTTCCCTTGCACAGATCTTCTGCGCAGTTGGCGACGTGCAGAAGGCGCCCCGGACTTCAGCTTCGCAGTTTCGGGGCCGAAAGGCTAAATCCAAATGCCTCGGACCCCAGGACCCCACGATACCTCATGCTGACCATTGGCCTGAGTCGTTTCTTGGCATCGCATCGCCTGCCGCAGCTGCCGGTTTCAAACAGCTTCGAGCCAGGCGGGCTGTGTGTATCGAGTTGTGCGCGCTACCGCGAATGAGGGTGTAGAGCAAGAAGTCCGCCAAATCTGGAGCAAAGCTTTCGGACGACGAATCTAGTCATCCTACCCGAGCTGAGGGCTGGTCCCCCCATCGTGCATAGAAAAGGTTCTGGAGTAGATCCTTCTCACGGCACCGGCATGGCTTTCTTGCGCCGGCATCTGCCAAGCCTTGCGCGTGCAGCGCGCGGGGCTGCCGATGGTGGTAGAGGCTGATCAAAAGCCGGAGAGGTTGAGATATGCAGATGGGCACGTCAGATATGCTTTTGGCTGAATCTGTATATGTCGATATCCACCTCGGTACTTGAGTACCATGGCCCTTTGTGAGTACTGAATCTCAGTCTGTCTCCACGCTCACGCACGCGTTAGCGAAGGAGCACATTAATACCACAGGGAATTCATGGTATCGTACGTATGTATGCGTGCATGTGCATGCAAGCTTGTGTGCGCGTGTACGTACTGGACAGGTAGGTGGGTCTTTTGCAGATGTGCATGTGCATGTTCTGTACATGCGTTGACACGAGTCACGGGCGGTGTTTTGCAACCAAGCCTGAATCCTGAATCCCCTTCACCTTTGACCGTGGGCCATGAGCCACTGTCGAGTATCTGTTGGCCGTGCACGGATCGGAACCTGGCTACCCAACTCCACAGCTTCGCATTGTTCGCCGAGTCGTGGGAGTCGAAACGTCAAGAAGGCAAATACTGGTGGTACAACCTTTACTCCAAACAGTCTAAACCCCGAAGCCTGGAGCCTCTGAAGTGTACCAAACCCTGATCTGGGTGCTTGTTAAGGGATTTACTTTTTTAAGGTACCATAATATCCCATAACCCATTCCCCCAGTCCCTACTAAGCATCGGACAGATGAACACCCTCGTGTGCAGGGCCGCGCATCCTACGGTCGGAGGTGTCGGACATCACCTTCCACTTCGCGGTAGCCGGTCGGGGGTCGGAGCTTTCGGAGCTTTGGGGTTAAGAGCTTAATGTGGGAACCTGATTAAGAAACCCTGGCCCTATAACTCCCAAATAATAGGGTTCGTATAAAGCGCCCTAATGAAGGCCCAGGGTTTCTTAAGCAGGTTCCTCTGGGTTGAGGGGTCTCGGGATTCAGGGATTTCGGTTTAGGCCTAGATGCAAAAAGGGATGTAGGGTTGAGGGTATGCCAGTTTGCTCACCGAGAGTGGCTGGTTGGCTGGGGTCGTTGCAGGCCAAATGCCAAAAACAGAATTCAACACACGAGCAAGCATAAGAACGGCTCATCCAGTCAAGCATCGCACTTGTGGAGATCACCACCAGACTCGAGGTCCAACAAAAATCAATCGTGCCTTCGCCTGAACCGCAAATCTGAAAGAACACGCAGTCTTATCGAGAGTATGCTGTCAGGGCATTCAGTCGGGTGTTTGGGCTAGTTTTGGGAGTCTGTTGGACATGTTGGCTGAGAGAGCGCTGACACTGCGAAAGGACGAGTTCAGAACGACTTTCGGCACAGGGGTTTCGCAGGTTCTGATTGTTTTGTTTCGTTCGTTTGCCCTTGGGCCTCGAGTCGAAACTTCCTCCAGCCAAGGTTGAGGAGTACCTCATGAATGCGGAGAAGCTGACTGCTCCGCTGATGTCGCCTAGCAGAGAAGCCTGTGAGAGCAGATAGGGTGAATTGCAGCGGCAGGTCAGGCCCCGAAGTCTACAGGTTTAGCCAGAAAAGTTTTTGAACCCTGAACCCCATGCCTCAAGTACATTTGTGTTTGACTTGGGCTGCCATACAGCCTTCGTCCGAGGTACCTCTGGAGACCGCAGCCGGTGGTCACCATCGGACGACACCAGATTCCCAGCAGCACTCTTGCCGAGCATCGCGAGGTACGAATCAGGGCTAACATAGGGGCTTAAATCATTTCGAATACTATTGTGGGGGTTCCGTTTGTAATCATCATAGTATAATATGCACCAAAACCCCTATTCTAATGATTGAGGCCCCTTCTTTTTAGTGAAGGAGCTGGAGGCTTGAGCCCCCGGCCAAAAAGGCATCTGGTGCACATCGGAGACGCCCGAGACCGTGAACTGTAAAGCCCGAAGCCGCAACAATCCTCCAAACCCGCCCAAAGCCAGTCCTAAGCCCTGAAAGCCCGGACTTAAACCCGGACTTTGCCCCCAAACCAACCCCCCCCCGAACCCCAACCGCCCTAGTCTGATCCGAGCCTTTCTCAGGAATCCTTGGAAAGAGTGTGTTCTCTCGCAGCTGGATGAGGATCCATTCAGGTAGTTCTCCACATATTGGGGTTCCTATTGAAAGGCTCCCATGAACGAGAGCGTCTCTTTCACCTACTTGTCATACGGCACGGCTGGACCCTGAACTTGTCAACTCGAAACTCTAAAAACGGCTGCTTCATGGTGGATCCCCAAAGCAAAGGGTGGTGAAGCTCTGCAGGCTTATTGTGGCAGCTTGTTTTAGCAAAGGGTCTAGGGCTAGGGCTTCGAGGAAGTATTCGGCTACCGCTGCATTTGTATGAAGTCAGGTTGCAAGAGGCATATTTCGAACTGTTGAGAGTAGCCTACGATGTTTTCATTCTCAACCTGCGGCCTCTACTAGCCCTGAACGCGAAACTTTTTTGGGTCATGCGAGTGTGAGGAAATTAAGGACCCCACATACCCAGATAGGCAGCGTGAGATTTCAATCAGGAGGCTCTGATCCGTTTGAAGTCTAAAAAAGCCCTTTACTTGAAGTCTTTATAATCCGTACAAAAGGCACACTGAACTTCTTTCAAATCGTGCTTCAGACGCAGACCCATTAAACCCCAAAGCTAAACCTGAACTCCAGTGGTTTGGAGTTTAGGATTTAGGTCTAGTAGTAGGGTATAGGGTTCCTTTCCAAGCCCCAATTCTGGAGCCCAAAACCACGAAGCCCGGACATCATAGGACCTTGATAGTTCGAGTATGGTTCTGGGGTATGTTCTACTAAACTAGAAGATGAGTCCTCAGGAATAGTATTGGTAGTAAAAGTTCAGGCCTGCCAGAGACTCCGATATCTCTTCAGTAAGGAATATACGTTAAAGTACAGTAGGATCCCTAATCTGATTCAAGGTCCATTCCTTAATTAAGCGATATGGAGTCCCCTCAACGGCCCTCAACCCTATAGATAGATCCCTTATAAATCCCTGATACGAGCCCTAGGTATGCCTTTCTGGGTTCTATATTACCGCAGGACGGTGTCGCCTTGGTCCGCCGGCGATCCGGGGGCGGCGCCATCTTCCAGGAGCGGTTTTCATAGGGATGTGTGGTTGCAATGGACATAATATAGGGGCCTTAATAATTAGAACAGGGTTTTTGGGGCTCATACTCTAATTACTAGAAGGACCCCCCCCAAAAAATAGCATTGGCAATTATTCAGGCCGCTGTATGAGCCTTGTTTAATCTCACACTTACTGTCACAGCTCTTGTTGTTCTGAAGACAATGGTGTTAATCATGGCGATGATGAGAATACTGATGCGGATTCTGCTACAATGATGGTCATGACAGCGGTATTGGTCATGCTGATGACAGCAGGGGCGATGACGATGATGATGGTGATGAGAATGATGATACTGCTGGCAACTATGACGGTTATGCATGCATACGTACATGCATACATACATACACAATCATGCACACATACATCATGCATCCGCGCATATGTGAGTCCATTTTCTATGCACATGAGTACGTGCGCGATGCTGGTGAACATACGCAAACGTACCTGCGTGCACAAACCAAGAATCAAAGTAAAGAAATAGGTAAGCAGGTTGGAGTTTTGCTTCCCAAGCGTCTGTAGCTACTTACATCTGACTGCAAGGCATTGGGGTTTCGAAGCTGTTGTAGTCCGAGGGCCTTGGCAATCGGAGCGTGCAGTGTAGGTCTTGGGGTTTGCAATCTACGCCTCTACCTGGGCTCTCTTAATCAAAATTAGGGTCCCTTTTTGGATCCTTATTATAATACGGCACCTCATAGTTAGGGCGCCCAAAAACGGACCATAATTTTGACAACCACCCATGTGTTCACGAAAGATTTTTCGGAATCCAAGTGCTTAGGGCAGCCGAACCCGAAGCGCCGAAAGCCAGCGCCTCGCCTGGAAAGTCCGAGTGGTGAGAGCGCAAGCCGTAAGCCCAAAACGCTACAGGATTTTTTGAGCTTCAAAACCCTAACCTAAAACCCTAGACCCTAAACTTTAAAACCCTAAACTCCAGACCCAAATCCACAATCCCGAAACCCCAAATCATAGAGACCTTTGGGGGTGGGGGTAGGGAGAAGGGGGGTTCTGGGCCCCTTCATGCCCATAATAAACCCCCACCCCTCCCCCTTACCCGCTTACACCCCCCCTAACCCTAAACCCTAAAGCCTTTAGTTAATGTGTCCCCTGGCTAATGCGCTGGGATGAAACTGCCCAAGTGCTGTCGCTGGTACTGGGATCCTCGCTGTGGTTCGTCCGAGAGTGAGTGCTGAAAGCCTACAGTAGAAGCCAGAAAATTGGAATGTCATTATCGTAACCCCTTTAAGGTAAATTATAGGGGATCCTACCATTAATCCATATTCCAACTTTCTGGAGTTCCCTTTAAAGGCCTCTATGATGCCACCATGGCCCTCTAAGGCCCTAGGGGTCATGACTAAACAGCGCCTTAATGCCGATAACAAGGACCTAATGAGGCTTCTTTAAGGAAGTACCAAAAAAACCCTAGAGGTTTCCATGACTAGACAGCGCAGGATGCTGGCTGCTCTGTTTTCACCTTCTTGTTCCCATCGGCGGAGTTTGACATCGACCGTGACCTGGCGCACCCTTTGATGGTTCAGTGCCCTGAAGCGCAAGAGGCACGCTATTAGTAAGGCATCCTCCTGCATAAAACCTCGCAGTGAACCCCTTCACTCCAAGTTTACCCCTAAACCCTGAACCCTACGCAGCAGTCCATCCCAGAAGCCGCATACCCTGACCAAGTGAACATTTCGTGTGTCGTGCCTTGTCGGAATCTGCCAAAGTATGCGCAAGTAAAACATGTGGAAGTTTCCGCAAATTAGGCGTACCTTACTTTGGGGTCCTTATAAGAAGGATCCTACTATTTAGCGTGCTGTCTTAGGGTCCCCTATTTTCGGAAACTCGTAACAAGTTGAGGAACATCTAAGCCCTGAGCCCGAGACCCCGAGCCCGAAACTTCAACTTCTCTTCAAGGTGGCAATTTGGGAAACTTTTTTAATTTCCCAGGGTCTAGGGTTTAGGGTTATGGTTCCTGCCTATGCATAAATTCTTTAAAGAGCCCCAGAACTACTGTACAACCCAGTCTACTTTCAGGCAACCTCGAAACGGTTCTGGGCGCACTAGGCCGCCTGGGTGTCCAGGCTGTCTCCCGGTGGCAGTGGATCTAAAAATCCAAAACCTGAAAGTCCTAAACGCCTAAACCCCTAAACCCTAACCCCTAAACCCACAACCCTAAACCCTTTTTGAAATCGTTCTGGTACTCGAATCCTCGCCTGCTGGTCTAGTTGTGAGTGCTGAAACCCTTTTGAAATGGCTCTCGGGCTGAGGGTTTGGGGTTCAGGGTTCAGGGTTACAGCTCATTTTGGGTTTTGGCGATGATATGCTTACCTGCTTCTGGATATCGTGCTAGCCTTGAGAGCTTACCCCAGCACCGTCATCGCATGATTGTTGCAAACAAGATGACTGTTGCAAACGAGTTCCAGGGCTGATTTTCGCCGGGGTTATTTGCATCAAAAACCGTGCTGCCGGAAGAAATTCCACGCACTCTGGTGCGTATCTACGTGGACACCTTGTAACACAGGACAGGGTTTGTGGTGTGGCGTGTGGACATACATCGTCTTCGAGGAGGACTTCTGTAGCTTCAAACATTCATACTGAGGAATTGTTGTGGGACTACATGTTTGGAGAGCCGATGCCCTACAAACGCCTGATTGCTGTCACCCGTAGCTTGTGTGCAGCTTTTCCCGACAACAGCGCCAAGCAAAGCTGTTCTACGCGGCTTGAGTTACCCTAAACCCCTACACCCTAAACCCCTAAACCCTAAAGCCAAAGCCTTAAACCCTAGACGCACAGCTTCCCCTCGCAAAGCTCGGGCAGTTGAGTAGCTTCATGCCCTTACTTGTTCACTAAAAGGCATGCCTGGTCATTTTGTACGTACATCTAGAAGAACATGGTCTGGCTCGGGCTGCCTCAAGAGTTCGCCAAACTCTGGATCCCGGAACCCTCAGCTCTAGATCTTGTTTACAGCATACAAGGAGAAGAAGGGCCGCAATGATCTCACCTTTGAAGACAAGAAGATCTCCGGTAGCGCTTTTAAGCACCGCTGCAGCAACCGGCCTTGGGGAGTTAGCCTTGTTTGCTGCTTAGGGCTCAGAGTCGGGTGAGGGTTCTGGGATGAATCACGTCAGAATCCTGGAGTGAAGGAGCAGTTCTCTTTTTTATCAGCATTGTCTTTCCACACCTGCTAATCATGGGCAAGCCTTATACAACTCTGAGGGATTAAGAACCGAAAATTGCGGCCTGGACGGATGGGGTTGGACCGTGGCTAAATCCAGCAAGCTCAATCAAGCCACGAGCAGCTGCAAGACTCACACTTTCGACACCTTCAAACGCCCTCTAGCAGCTCTAACATGCTTCCATGCCCCTCCCTGACTCCCCAGAGACTCCAATATCCCTTCATTAAGGAATATTCCTTAAATCATATTTGGGATCCTCTATAATTTGAGGAATATTCCTTAATTAAGGGATATTGGAGTCCCTGGGTCAGGACCTAAGATTCCCTCTGATATGGGAGTTTCCGAAAATAGGGGACGCTAATATAGTACCCTTAATGATAGGATCCTTATTATAAGGACCCCAAAATAAGGTACCCCTAATGTTCGGAAACTCCCATATTGCCCTGAGGCACGCACCGGATCGCGGGGTGTCCCTGCACCACGGCACTGTTCTTGTGGACACCGACCTCACTGCCCTCCAGCGACCCGGTGCCCAGGGGTGTAGGGTTTAGGGTTTA